GCTCCCTTGCAGGGAGCTGTCTGACTGGAGGAGGAGCCCCTTCCCCTCAGCTGCAGCAGCTCTCCCCTCTGCTCACCCTACCACACCCTTTTGTCCCCTCCCTACGGGCTGGGAGAGGTGTACTCCTCCCTACAAAAACTTTGCAAACTGCCCTCCTCCCCCGTCCCATTTTGAGTCAGAACCCCCATGTTTAGAATGCTGTGTAAACATCTGAAATTGTGAAATTGACCAGTTTGGACTGGGAATTCGGTAGGGTTATACTGATGTGTATCTGTGTGTAGTAGTGGTGTATTGAAGGACTGATGTATAATTTCACAGTTTCCTCATGACAGCTGGTGTAATAGAATGGGTAAGGATGTCTTTGTTCTGAGGATATCACTGGACTTTCCGACCTGTGGTGCTTATATTTTCCACAAGGCTCTAAATCAGGGGTGGGCAAAAGGGCCTTTGCGGGCCGGATATGGGGGCGGGGAAGCGCGTGAAGCTTCCTCCTGCCCTGTGAGCAGCACACAACGCTTTGAAGTGCTCTTCACAGGGCAGGAGGAGATATCACACACTCTCCTGCCCCCAAGCCCTGATTGGCCTGAGGGCAGGAGGAGTGTGCAAAGTTTCCTCTGCCCTTCCCCCCCCCACCCTGCGAGGAGTGTTGTACGCTCGCGCGGGGCGGGAGCAGGGTGAGGGAAGCTTCTCACAGCTCCCTCGCTCCCAGGCCAATCGGCTTGGGGGCAGGGAAGCGTGTGATGTGTCTTCCTGCCCTGCGAGCAGCATGTGGCACTTTGAAGTGCCACGTGCTCGCAGTGCGGGGTTAGAATGGGAGGAGACTTTCCATACTCCCAGGCTAATGGCCTGGGGGAGTGGGAAGCCTCTTCCCTCCTTGCCAGGGGCATGAGCGCCTAGTAGGAAGGGGGGGCAAAGGGGCTGCCCCATCTCCAGTCCAATTATGGTCTGGGGGTGGGGAAGCCCAAAAACATTCTGGTCCCATCCCTTCCGGATTAGGCTCTGCCCCTTCCGGAGCGGCCCCTGGACACTTCACACATTTTTGAAGTGGCCCTCGGCCACAAATTATTGCCCACCCCTGCTCTAAATTGTCATTCATCCCCGTATAGCTGAGTCAAAGCTTATTGCCAGGATAGGATAGAACATTTGGTAACCAACACCACCATATTCAGTGGAAAGCAACACTATGCTTAAGTCTCTCCTTATCTAAAGTGGGCTGAAGGAATGTTTTTTATAGATAAAGCATAGCTGTCTTGTCAGTATGCCCAAAGTTAGTTAAGATGGGTCTTTTCTCCCAGGTCTTTCTGCCATGATCTGGGTATATGTTTCAATATTCACCTTTTTCAATGGATCTTCCCAATAGAAGCTGTTGCTTGGGGGGTTTAGCATTGATATTATTGTTTGATGCAGCCTGTCTTTCATCTCCTGAAAACATGAGTAGCGCAGAGATGCTGGCTTCCAGCAAAATATATTGCCTGCACTAGGGATGTGAACAACTAGTGAACTATCCAATAAGCAAATGCCTCCCCTGCTGACCCTGGGCTCCATGTGGCTCTGCCACTTTGAAATGCCACAGGGAGCATGGGGTCAGCAGGTGATTGCTTGAAACCCCCGCTGGCCCCATGCTCCCCGCAATGCTTTCACCTTGGAAGTGTAGCAACAACCCTGGGACTGTTGCTACACTTCAAAGGCAGAGGTGGCCTTGTCAACTAATCAAATAGTCGATGCAAATTGCATTGACTATTTGATTAGCCAATTAATCTAAATTTAAAATCCCTAGTCTGCACTTTATGCTGTGCTGTTTTTTGGAGTTGGACAACGGAGGGGAAGTCACTTGTTCATTTACACTGAACATTTTAAGGAAACATGTTCCATGATTTGGATCCTAACTTAATGATACAGACTGCAGGGATGACATGTATTAGTTACAAAAGTAATTTTCTCTCCAAAATATTCATCATGAAATGTTGATCTGGTTGAACTCCAGCATATATTAGAAAAAAATCATGTTGGCGGAAGCTTGTTAAATACATGCTTTCACAACTTGTAGCCTAAGATCTGATCTTTCTTCTTTGTGGGTTTCTCAAGAGGTACTGGGGTCATGGGATCTGTAAACGTTGCTGTGGCCAGAAGATCGAACTTCCTGATCATGGTGGTCTGTAATATGGTTTGGGCTTTTAGAGATTCCTTTTCTCACAATAAAACTCATTCACATTTTCACTTCTAACAATGAGCTAAACAAAATACAGTGAAACCTGCATTATCCAGCCCTGTACCAGCCAGTTCTATTAAACCAGCATTTCTGATTTTAATTGAGCCAGTTGGCACAGGTCTGGCAGGCTCCTTACCTGGCTCTGTGGGGCTCCTTGGAAGTGGTGACATGTCCCTGTTTTTCTTAGGCACAGAAATAACCATTAGGACTCCCATGTTGGCTTAGCAGTTCCCATTGGCTGGGAACTGTGGCCACTGGGACCTGCAGGGTCAGTGCCAGCAGGCAGACGCAGCATACAGAGGTACCTAGCCGCTCCTCCTCCTGGGAGCAGTAGGGATATGTTGCCACTACTGGGGAGCCACCTGAGGTGAGTGCCAACTGGATTGGGCACCTCAGCCCCTCTGGCACCTGAAAGCCCTGCCCAGATCCTCTTCTTGAATCCAAACTCCCTCCTACATCCTAACTCTCCCCTCTTTCTCCCACAAACTCTCTGCTTGAGACTGAATCCCATACTAGAGTAGAGTTGTTAGCGAGTAATCGTCAACTTCAGTATCGACTACTCGCTTCCCGCCCCCTTCCCTTGTCCAGCAAAGGGGGGGGGGACAGGAGCCAGCATAGAAGCCAGTTCCCCCCAACAACATCTTTGTAGTGCTGCCTGCCCCCGCCCCATTGCCTCGATCAGAAGCAGTGGGCGGGGGGTGAGGAAGATAGGAGAGGCTGCTGCGAAGCAGCCTTTGCCCAAGATGGACCATGGCTTGCCAGGGGTAGCCCTTGTCTGTGGGGGGTCCCAGCAGGGAGCTGGACCTCTCCTCGGACAGTGGCTGCTACTGCCAGCCAGCCCGTTTGTGGTGACCAGGCTGGCTGCGCGCAGGGGCTGCTGTGGCAGCAGTCCCTGTCCACAGCCAGCCCTGACCGCTGCAAACGGGCTGGTGCCGGAGCAGCTTCTGTTCACGATGGCCAGGGATGACTCTGGCAGCAGCCCCTGTCCATGGCCACCCCAGCTGATGTGAACAGAGGCTGCTCTGGCACCAAGCCCTGTTTGCAGCAGCCAGCTCTAGCCACCAGGAGCAAGGAGACCTGGCTTGCGCTGGTCCGGGACACTGCACCTCTGCATTTTAAATGTAGTGAGAGTCCAGCTGCTCTTACTCCATTTAAAATGCAGAGCTACAGGCCACCAAGAGCCGGGACTACTCAGGCCTGCCTTGAGCTGGCTCCTGGAGCTACCGCTGCTGCAGCTCTGCAGAGCAGTCTTTATTGGCTAATTGTGTTGACTACACGATTAGTCCAATAACTGCAATTTAACATCCTATATTGAACTCCTGTGTGGATACAAAATTCTTTATCCACATCTGGAGACATAAAAATGAGCCATGGATATCCGCATCCACATGTGTGAGTGTGGATCATGGATACCCTGCAAATTTGTGGGTATTGGATACAAAATTTGTATTCACATTAAAGATGTAAAAATTAAAAAGAAAACCACTAACCATGTAATCGATTGAAATTCAATCAGTTACACGGTTAAACACTCCATGTAGGGTTGCCAGGTGTCCAGTTTTGAACTGGGCAGTCCAGTATTTGAACTTTCTGTTTGGGAAACAAATTGAGAAAATATAAATGTCCAGTATTTTCTAAATAAGATGTAATGTCAAGTGTGTCCGGTATTTTTGTTGAAACCATCTGGCAACCCTAACTCCACGGGCTGCTAGCACTGCAGGCTCCCAGCGGTGACTGGGAGTTTAACTGGTAAAATTAATAGATTAACCAATTAACAGATTAGCATTAGTTTAACTATTACATTCCTAATCCACATCCATATCTGCAAAAATGAGCCACAGCTATCCATATACACAGATGCAGATATAAAGTGTATATCCAGAGATTCTATGCGATACCCCCTTCTGTACTCTTTCAGCCTCAGCCTGGATCCCCCTCATTGTGAACCTCTCATTTGTGGCCCCACCCTGCAGCTTGCACCCCCAGCCTAGAACCCACATACCATACTCTGCCTCAGCCCGGAACCCTCTCCCACACTTTGAACTTTGTTAGCCAGAATATTTGACCAGCAACCCTTATTTCCCCAACATGCCAGATAACGAAGCTTATACCGTACTAACATAGAGATCAATGAAGTATTGGAGAAAGATATCACTTTCTAGAAGAAGTTGCAGCAGGGTGTGTTGATCTAAGGTAATTTGTTTCTGTATAAAGCCAGCTGCACATGTTGAACAAATTCCCTCCTTTTGTTCACCTTGACAAGCTTTGATTTATAGTACCAATATGTTATTTTTGCTATAGAACTTATACAGAAGTTCATTATTACTATTTAAGAGCTTGGTCTGTGGTAAAAGCTGATTGAAGGTCTATGGTTTTAGTATATTTAACTCAACAAATGCTACAAGAGCTAAACCCCATTTTCTCTATAGTTGACAGCCTGAACACTAAAAGGTGTGAAAGGCCATAAACAAGGAAAAAGCAAGGAATCAGAGTTAAGGGTGAGGAGTGGTAGCTGTTAATTTGACTTTTGGTAGCAAGTTCTGTTTAATTTTATCAAATCATGTATGTTAGAAGCTTTATCTAAAAAAGGCGCAAAACAAATTACTTTCTGAACACTAAATAAAGAAGCTAGAGACTGTGGGATGGAATTGTTATCAGAATACTTCTTCACTAATATTTGGAATGGTTTTCAAACCTCTCTTAGAGATGTGAACACTGCTGTAATGGAATTGTTGATAATGGCTTATGCACTGAAGACTTCCTGCGCCAAGAATATTATTGGGGTCATCCCTTACTTCCCCTATAGCAAACAAAGCAAAATGAGGAAGAGGGGCTCCATAGTCTGCAAACTGCTGGCTTCTATGCTAGCCAAAGCAGGTGAGTGAGTCATGCAAGAAGGCAGCAAGAATTTTGGCCTTCATAATTTGTTCAACTACCATGAACCCCTGGGAATCAGCTGTCCTTCCTTACCTCCCTTCTGATACTTGGAGGCAAGCCCCAAGTTCTCAGCCCCTGTTGGGGAAATTAATATTTGTTCATCTATCTGTTACAGTTGTATCTGGGGATGATCCATAAATATCTGATTAGGGATGCTGTATTAATATGCCTATATTATGTTCTCTCTGGTGCTGCGTTGTCAGTGGCTGGTTGTCAGTACTCGTATAAGCTGGTACAAGAAAAGGCTTTGAAGCATCTGTTAAAATGTGGCCTAAAGTATACTGACATAGGATAAGTTAGAGAACATGAAATTTGGACACACATGGATTGTATATTCCAGAAAACATTTGAGAATAGGAGAGGCTATTTAGTGATTCACTCTTTTTTTTGGTGTGTTTAGGTTTAACACACATTATCACTATGGATCTTCATCAAAAGGAAATCCAAGGCTTCTTCAGTTTTCCAGTAGACAACTTAAGGGCATCTCCTTTCTTGCTACAGTATATACAGGAAGAAGTAAGGTTTCTCACGTTTTATCCATATTCATTTGCATTTAACCTTTATCTGATGATATATAGCAGGGGTGGCCAACCTGTTAAAGACGAAGAGCCAAAATAGTGATGGCGAAGAGAGGTGGGGAGAGCAGAGTCTCTTCCCTGCCCGGCCCAGTTCTTTGCTGGCAGGCAGTGCCCAGGGCTGTCTCCAGCCCAGCTGGGCACAGCGGGGCACTGGAGAAGGGGCTCCCCAACCCTGCACACTGCCCGTGGAGAATAGCATGGCATAGCCTAGGCCTTGGTGCACCACATGTGCCGGCCGCCCAACCCCAGCTCTGCAGAGCAGGGGACATGCATATGTGGACGCACGCACACATGCACACCTCCCCCTCCCAAGCCAACAAGTTAACAAAGAGGGGTACCCAGCTGTCCCTGCCCTCCATCTCAGTGTCACTTCTATCTCTGGTAGATATACCCATTCTAGCTCTGAGGCTAGTGCAATTCTATTTCTTATGCTGGGACAGGCTTGTCACCCAAAGTATTCAAGCAATTAGCCTATCTTGCCACTTACACCACTATGGCTACCCTTCTGCTACCATGCTAGCTTGAACGCAGCTAGTGTAGATATTTCTGCATCGGGTGTAAATGTACCCAAAGAAATAGCTGTGTTCTGCAGTGTGCACCTTTTATAGTTGTTGAAGCCAATAATGAAAGGTGGTGAAGAATGACAAAATGTTTCTTAATACAGATTGAACCTCTCTCAGCCGGTATCCTCAGGACCCAGCCAGTACCCTTGGGACATGACCAGTGCTGAACTAGAGATTTGCCAAACCATGGGAGGTCATTATTGTCTAGCAACACTTCCACTGCTTACTGGGCTCTTAGAAGACATTTCAGATAAATTAGAACTAAATAACAGCATAGAACAATGAGGACTGGTGGCTATAAACAAACTTTAGAGCAGTGGTTCCCAACCGCTGTTCCACAGATCTGTGCCAGGCCGTGAACCGCTGGCTGCCGGGCCACAGTGGTGCTGGGGGCTAGGGCTGTGGTATACTGCCCAGCACCTCCTCTCCCGCCGAAGCTGTTGGGAGATGCCTGTCCTGCCCTGTGTCTCAGAAGACAGAAGAGCAGTTTGCTGCAAGGCAGGAGGACCGTGCAGCACCAAGAATGGCAGTCTTAGAGTAGCTGTGACCATGGCAGCAGCGCCCAGCTGGCAGCTGGGAGGCAGCACAAGGCTAGGTGAAGGGGGCAGGGGTAGTAGTGGAGAACTCAAAGGCAATGTTTCTTAACCAGTGGTACGAGTACCCTGGACATACTCCAGACTTCTCTCGAGTACCCCAACACAACTGAAATTTGGAGAAAACTGAATTTTTGTTTTACAGCGCTTTATTATTTTTGTACTTTTTACACCCAAAAATGTCATCGTCCGCCCGGCTACGATGGAGTTGTTTAAACAAATGTGTTGCAATGGTAGAATAAATTTGTCTCTCTCTGAAAACTGTAGGTACTGGAGGCACTTACAATTTTTTTTTTAAAGGGGGTACTTACAATTTTTTTTTTTTTTTTTTTTTTTTGAAACGGGTACTTTTTTAATAAAGTTGAGAAACACTGTTCTAAGGGGTGGAGATTCTAAGAGGCGTGGAGCTGATACTGGGGTGCACTGCAACATCCAGGGTGGGGAGCTGGCACTGAGGGAGCTCTGGGATGGGGCTAGTAGTGGAGGGGCTACAGGGGCCAGACTGGCACTGGGAGGCTCTGGGGATGGGGCTAATATTGGGGACTGGCACTGGGGGGAGCTCTGAAGGGGTTGGGTATAGTGGGGCTCTGGAAACAGGAGGGGCTGGCACTGGGGGATCTGGTGATGGGGGGGCTGTAAGGTGTAGGGGGTTGGTGCTGAGGAGTTTGGGGGGGTGGGCACTGGGGGGCTGTGAGGGCAGGAGCCTGGCACAGGTGGTTGGGTGCAGGGGACTCTGGGGTTGGGCTGGTGCTGGGAGGTAATGGAGGAGTCGGAGGGGGCCTCTTGGGGTTTTGGATGGCCCTGGGGGGGGGGGTCTCAGAGCTGGGGTGTGCCCCTGCCCCCACAGTTACCATGAACAGCTGGCTTCAGCTGCCACTGCTGTCTGCCACGTGGTGACTGCCAGAGCTGAAGCTGGCTGTTTGTAGCAGCTCTGGGGGCCAGGAGTTTTGACGGACAGGCATAATTTTACTTGCATATTTGCACAATGAATATGCAAATATGTAAGTAAAATGTTACCTATCCATCAAAAGTGTGTGAATGGGTTTGCCAGTCCACAGAATAATAAAAGTTTGGGAACCACTGCTTCAGGGGGCTGGGGGAAACTTGCCCAAAACCCTAAGTGGACATCGGCCGGACCATGGATGTTGACAGATCTGAATGCGCCAAACTAGAGGGGTTCAATCTGTAGTGAATTCTATGAACTAATTGTATTGCTTGAAGTATTTTGAGCACTAATTTGAGTGCTACATAATATTTTGGTGCAGCTTATATACACATTTCTTACTGCCCTTTATATCACTGGTGTTAGAATGGAATTTTTTCCTTTCATTAGTACTACAGCATGAGGTTCTCCCACTATTGCCCTTGATTATAAAGATGTAGACACAGTTGTCCACCCAAACTGTAATGAGTTAAGAATAAGTACTATATATATTAAAGTATTCAGTACTCTACATTTTAGTAACTTTTTTCTTTTTAATCCAGATTCCAAATTACAGAAATGCAGTTATTGTAGCCAAATCTCCTGATGCAGCGAAAAGGTAAATTTGCTTCCTGGCTGTCTGGATGTACATTTTGATAAAACTTGCTGTGATCTGGTATTATGGAATGCATTGTCTCCTGAGACAATAAATCTGTCTGTCCAACTGTTTTGCAGTAAAACACTGGATTCAAACTTAGTGCCACCAATCTATTTGGTGCAAGTGTCTGGATTGTCACACAACCAACCTTTACACTTTGTGGGAGGCCCAGACTTGGAACTCCTAGCAGCTGGAGTATTGAACAGTTTCTGTTTACCTGGGTGTTAGAAGTTGTCTGAGCTTCTCGCTTGTTTAAAGGGTGATAGAGCCAGTATCAGGTAGAGACAGACTACATAGTCACACCTGTTGCCTCTATTCAGTGCTAATATGGAGAGTATTATTAGGAAAACTGGATCTAGCCCATGACCCCACACCATTGTACAGTGATGGCTGCAGTAAGGGTCTGTTATACTTCAAGTGATGTCCCCATGGCTTTGGGTGCTGGTGTGTCCTCATGCCAGTGACGGGAGATTTGTGTAGCAGTGCGCCATGGCGCCTCCTTGTGCCATTTGTATTCTTTAGGCACATGTGTGGCACAGCTCCCTCAGTTCCTTCTCTACCATCCTCAGCAGCATATGGAGCTCCACTGACTCGCCCTTGCTTCACCTTTAAAAAAAAAAGGCAATAAAATTTGTTAATTCTCAGTTTTCTCCTTAATTCTAAGATTCGATTCCTACCCTAGCCACCGCCCCCCATTTTTCCTTTTAAAAAACAAACAAACAGTTCTTTGTTGTTCATTACCCCATTTGTCCCCATGCCTGGCTCTCCAGGCTTCAGACATTGTGATTCTTGATGGGAGGCTATGCCAGCCTTAGACGGTCATGCCTCTTGCATAAAGTGTCTCAGGAGGGCCCACTTGATGCAAAAGTGCACACACTGCTCCAGTCTTACAGCCAGAGCTCAACACAGCCGCGCCAATAGGCTGAAGATATACCAATACAAAAAATCGATTCAGCCACAGTGTAATGACTTGCCCCCCAGAGGCAAGGAACCGGTTAAATCAAGAGGTATGGACGAGGGTCGGAGGCAAAAACCCCGGTTTGACCGGTGAACTCAATACCTCCAGGACCAAGCTCAGCTGGTGTGAGCATAGGAGATAAGCCTGGCACCTCTGGTACAGCACCGCCTAAACATTCGATGACGCAGAAGAAAGCTCATTCAGAGCCCAGACAGAAAACATCGGCACCAGCCACACTGGCTGAATCCATGGTGCCGGCCGAAATACCACATATCCGTGCTGAAAATGACACAGGAGATGGCACCACATGTGGCACCTAAGAAACCCCACACCGCCCTGCCTCCTCTGAAGGTACCATCTCCTACGCCATCAGCGGCATCAACCACAATCTGCTTTGGCACCGCTGCTTGACTATTCACAGAACCATACATCACCTTTAGCCCGTGCTTCATCAGTACCACCATCTCTGTCATCATTGGTGTGGTCTGCTCATTCACCCAGGTCACTATCTCCATCTATTTCGCCAAGTGAGGCTGGCAGCGGTTCTCATAGCTGCTTTTCTTCTCAGCATTCCAGCCCTACTCAGCGATACCCTCCTTGGGAATCCTGCTCCTCCAGACCATTGCACCCACTTTAACGATCTCCCTGGTATGCACACCATTGGCCTTAACTACCACCTCCTTATCCCAACCAGTGGCATCCCTGGGATACCTAGTCTCGCAATAGCCATCATACTGCTCCTTCCACACCATCCAAGAGACCACCACTATCCTCTCAGCCTGGACCCAGAGACACGGCACCGAACTCCCCAGAACGTTTACAATCAGAGGTGGAGGACTCACTCTCAGAAGGGGAAGACAGATCCCCACTATTCAACTCCTCATCATCACTTGATGAGGCCATCATCCCCACTACCATCGGATGATTCTAAACAATTCCAGGAACTTTTCAAGAGAGTGGCTCTAGCACAGGAATGTGACCTGGAAAAGGTACAAGTAAAACAGTACAGACTTTTGTATACACTGCAACCTCCATCTTCAGGGATCGTGCTTCCAATGGCTGAGGCCATTATGGACCCTGCCGATAATATCTGGCGGACCCTACCATCAATTACACCCATCAACAAGAGGGCTGACCATAAATAGTTAATCACACCTAATGGCATGGACTTTTTTTTTTTCCACATCCACCACCTAACTCCCTGGTGGTTGACTCAGCCAGACATAAAGCCAAACATGAGATCTACTCCCCAAGACAAAGAGCTAAGAAGCTTGATATCATGGGCAGAAAGGTATACTCATCAGCAGCCCTACTATTAAGGGCAGCTAACTATACTGCCATGCTCGCCAATTATGATTATATGAACTACTCCAAACTACAAGAGCTCCTCCAGTTCCTGTCGGAGCACAAAAAGCCAACATTCCTGACTATTTTGCAGGAGGGGCACACTATCTCACGCACCACGTTACAATCCTCTATAGATATGGCCAGCATCGCAGCACGCACCACTGCAACTGTCATCATCATTCATGGAGCTTAATGGCGCCAGGCATCTGGTATACCTAGAGAGCTACAGCACAAAGTAGAAGATCTCCCATTTGATAAAACTGACCTTTTCGCCACAAACGGATGAGGTCTTACACTCTCTGAAGGGCTCCTGAACAACACTGAGAACTCTTTGGCACGTACACACCACCTAATAAGAGGTTCAGATACAACACCTATCCAAGACCTAGAGAGCAGTACAGACAGCAGCCTCAGTAAGATTTTAGACAAAAACGCAGACCTCAGTGCCAACAACAACTCACAATGTCCCAACCTTCATCATCTAAGCAGCAAGTTTGAAGGTTTGATCTGGAGTCACAGACACACCCCTGCTATGACCACATCACCAGCTGGACAACTTCAGTTCAGTCACTGCCTACGGCACTTTTTACACCAATGGGCACAAATAACATCAGACAGATGGGTACTAGAGCTCATGAATGTGAACTACTCTATCACCTTCATTGCTGTTCCCTCTCCCCAACCCTCCTCCCCGTCCCTCTTCAGGGACCCCTCTCGTGACATCCTCCTCCAACAGGAGGTTCAACACTTTCTGCATATAGGAGAGTTATAGCCACTGACAACAGCCTTTCAAGGTAGGGGATTCTATTCAACATACTTTCTAGTGGAAAAGAAAACAGGCGGGTGGAGATGCATTTTAGATCTAAGGAGGCTCAGTGAGTATGTAATATACAGAAGATTCATAAAGGTGACGTTAGCAACAATTATTTCAGCATTAGATCATGGAGATTGGCTCTCAGCTCTCAATCTTCAGGACACATACTTCCACATAACAATACATTCTGCTCCCTGACACTTCCTACGCTTTACTGTGGGACACTGCCAATATTGTGTTCTTCCATTTGGCCTTTTGGCAACCCCTAGAGTTTTCTCTAAGACTCTGGCCACTGTTGCTGCACACCTACGCCAGCAGGAAGTGATTACTATCAGCCTCCTAATTTATGTGGAAGCTTCCACATAAATTACCAGAAATCTACACTCCAACCCACTCAAACTCTGGAGTTCATAGGAGCACACATAGATACCATCTTAGTCAGGGCAACGCTGCCCAAACACAGATTTGAGGCCCTCCAGAACCTCATAATTGCGGCGCACACAACCCCAACTACAACAGTGCGCAAATGCCTCAAAATCTTGGGTCACATGGCTGCAACCACTTATATGGTGTGGTTGGCCAGACAACACATGAGGTGTCTCCAAGCTTGGCTACCTACAACTGTACATCCCTTCCAAGGACCCCGCCCCTCTCCAAAACTGTCACTATTCCACCACGCGTTCTCAACTCTCTGGATTGGTGGATGGACCCGACCAACATACTGCAGGGGTGTATCTTTTCAACAACCAACCACCATTGTTACTATCACCACAGATAGGGGGCCCATCCTTGAGTCCTCACACTGTATAAGGCAAGTGGTTGTTCACCGAACAAACATTCCACATCAACTTCCTAGAACTCAGAGCAATCCATTATGCCTGCTGTCACTTCCTACAGTACATAGCTCACAAAACAATCAATGTCATGACAGACAGTACCACCTGCATGTATTATATCAACCAGTAGGGTGGGGCCCGATCTATTTCCCTATGCATAGAAGAACCGAAACTATGGAACTGGTGCATTACCCACCACATCACCCCCATAGCTACCTACGTCCTGGCGGTATTCAACATGACGGCAGATGCACCCTCAGCTGCATCTTCCCTGATCATCACAAATGGGAAATAGATTCTCGAGCCCTCAAGGAAGTATTCCTCAAATGGAGTCAGCCGGACATAGACTTAATTCACAACCAGAGCCAACTAAAAATGCCATCTATTCTGCTCCAGAGCAGTTCTGGGAAAGGGATCTCTAGGCAACGCTTTCTCCCTGAAATGGGACGCAACCCTCTTATATGCATTCCCACTGATCCCCTTAATACACAGAATCATCACGAAAATCAGACAAGAACACGCTTGTGTAGTCTTGGTTGCACCAGCATAGTCAAGGCAAACTTGGTTCCCTTACCTGCACAGATCCTCACGTCTTTCCCCCACAACACAAGCTTGTCATTCACATCACATCAGGATTTTCCATCCCAATCCAGACAAACTGCACTTGCAGGCGTGGCTCCTTCTTGGCTCCAAAATGCTGAAAATACCTGCTCCAGAAAGAGTAAAACAGATTCTAATTAATAGTAGAAGAGAATCCATGAGGAAAACTTACATTTACAAGTGGATGAGGTTCTCTGAGTGGATCAAACAGAACCATCCCATGCCACCCAACACGATACCTATCCCCATCATATTAGACTACCTACTGGATCTAAAATAAATGGGCTTCTCTTTCAACACTATTAAAGTTCACGCAGCAGCAATAGCAGCCTTCCATAGAACCAATGATGGGACTTCATTCTTTTCACACCCACTTGCTAAACGCTTCCTTACAGGTCTCCAAAATACTTTCCCAACTGTATGGTCTCCAGTCATCTGGCACCTGAACCACATCCTTAAAAGCCTAACTAAACCACCCTTTGAACCTCTAGCAACTTGTTCGTGGCTACCCCTTTCCATGAAAGTAGCCTTTCAGATAGCCATCACTTCCAGCAGGAGAGTCGAAGAGCTAGCAACACTAATGGCAGAACCGCTATACACGGTACAGGCAGTCCCTGGGTTACGTACAAGATAGGGACTGTAGGTTTGTTCTTAAGTTGAATCTGTATGTAAGTCGGAACTGGCGTCCAGATTCAGCCGCTGCTGAAACTGACCAGCGGCTGACTACAGGAAGCCTGAGGCAGAGTTGCTCTGCCCCG